GTTGTCGCAGACGACAGGCACAACTATAGAGCACTGGTAGCTGCTCTAGAGCTCATGTATGGAACTCAAAATCAGTCTGAAGTCTACAGGGCTAGGTTTAGGACCTAGAGTCCGTGCTAAAGGTGAGAGCCTGCAAGAGCTGGCACAGGACTTGGAAAGTATGGCACACAAAGCCTACCCAACTGCACCACCCGATGTCCTCAAGCTGTTGCTGAGGGATCAGTTTGTAAATGCTTTGGATAGTCCACAACTGAAGATACAAGTGAAGCAAGCACACCCCTCTACTATGCAGGATGCAATAGCCAGAGCTCTTGAATTCGAATCCTATGTAAAGTCCAGCACAAAGGTACCAAGGTTGGTACAGTCATCAGGATTCAAGGCCAGAAAAGGGTAGCTTTCAGAGAAGTTTGAGGGACTTTGCTGGTATTGTAACAAACCTGGGCACAAGAGAGCTCAATGCTGGAAACTTCAAAACAGGGAAGATGCCACGGCAGGAAAGGCTGCTACCCAGAAATTTTGTTGGAACTGTGGAGAGTAAGGACATATGAGGAACCAGTGTAAGAAGAATACTACCAAAAAATCAGCTTCGGGAAATCAGTAGTGGTTGGTGCTGAGGGACGCCCAGCAACCCCCATCGTGAAAGTCCCAACAGCTAAGTGTAAAATGGCAAGCACATATAATGTCTACGTTACAGGAAAGCTGGATGGCCAAAGGTGCAACTTTGTCATAGGTTCTGCATCTTAGCAAACCCTTGTGAGTATCAAGATGCTGGATCACAAAGGAGTACCAGAAGCTGTTCAGAAGCTCTGTGGTGTGACATGACATTCTGCAAGGTTGTGGGGACCAGTGTTGGTAACTAGTGAGCTCATGGGCATGAACAACAGACAGAAAGTATACTTGGCTGACATTGAAGACCAATGCATTTTAAGATTGGACTATTTACTACCGAGGAAGTGTGTAGTTAACTTCGATAAAATGATGATTGGAAACAAAAAGGCCAAATTCTAGTAAGTGATGCTGCATCTGTTGATTTGTATGTCACAGCACTTAAGTCAACTACAATACCCCTATGTCAGAGAAGATAATTTGGGGTAGGATAAAAGAACATCTCCAAGGACGCCCAATGCTTGTGGAAGAAGACCCATCCAGGCCAGCAGGTTTGAAGATTGGAAGGTCACTTGTGGAAGGTCATCAAGTAGTACCTATAACATTGGTCAATTTCTCTAAATGTGAGCAGACAATTTAGGAAGGGGCATTGCTGGGAGTGTGCCAGGAGGTAGAGCCAGTCAATGTTAAAGCAAGAAATAAAACTATAAAGACAGGACATACACTCCCAGAACATTTAACTGACCTCTATAAGAACAGCATAGTCCATTTATCATCATCACAGGCTTTTCAGGTTGGAGAACATTTTGCGAATTATGCAGATGTCTTTTTGAAAGGAGATCATGACCTCGGCTGCACAGATCTTATGAAGTACAGAATAAACACAGGCAATCACTGTCCAATAAAAATCCATCCGAGGAGAATAGCTCCAGCAAAGCGACAAGAGGTGGAGA